GTCTTTCTACTTCTCACCTGGTTGCTGCCACACACGCTTGAAACAATCTGAATCATATAAGTTCATCTTGGTCTCATCAGATGACAGGACATTGTTCCAGTAATCCATGTCTTTAGTCTGCTTGTCTTCAGCAAACTGTTTGCGGGCTTTCTTGTGCATCATCTTTAGAAGAGGCTTCCTTCTGGGATGACAGCCATGCAGACCAATTTGATGCAGTGTGCGGCATATGGTCTGAGCACTGACAGGCTGACCCCCCACCCCTTCAACCTCTGCAACAATATTTCCCAAAGATAACCTCTGGATATGAAGCTGAGCATGTGCACTCAACTTCTTTGGTAAACCATGGCGAGGCCTGTTCTGAGTGGAACCTGTCCTGTTAAACCGCTGTATGGTCTTGGTCACCGTGCTGCAGCTCAGTGTCAGGGTCTTGGCAATCTTCTTATTGCCTAGGCCATCTTTATGTAGCTCAACAATTATTTTTTTCTGATCCTCAGAGAGTTCTTTGCCATGAGGTGCCATGTTGAACTTCCAGTAACCAGTATGAGAGTGTGAGAGCGATGACACCAAATTTAACACACCTGCACCCCATTCACACCTGATACCTTGTTATACTAACAAGTCACATGACACCGGGGAGGGAAAATGGCTAATTGGGCCCAGTTTGGACATTTTCACTAAGGGGTGTACTCACTTTTGTTGCCAGCGGTTTAGACATTAATTGCTGTGTGTTGAGTTATTTTGAGGGGACAGCAAATGTACACTGTTACTCAAGCTGTACACTCACTAATTTACATTGTAGCAAAGTGTCATTTCTTCAGTGTTGTCACATGAAAATATATTATCAAATATTTACAAAAATGTGAGGGGTATACTCACTTATGTGAGATACTGTATAGTCACGGTTTGCACTGCACAAGTTGTATTGCATCGTTTTGTATTTCCTTCTGTATCAAGTATTCTGGTCCTGTTTTCTTGTTTTGTGTTTTGTTTGCACCTCATTAAAACATTTCAACTTAGATTCTGCATTTGCATCCATCTCAAATCTCAGTACATGACAGAACGCAAGACCTAGGAATGGATGCAGCTGAATTTTTCAGAGTACAAGAAGCTCTTTATGAAATGGAAAAACCAAGGTGGGAGATGGAGGGGAAATTAAAGCCAGTCTGGAATATATAATTAAAAGCCAATCTGGAATATCTTGACATGATGTGTGCCATCAGGGGGTATATCAAAAAGGAGCCTTCCAACCAGCCTGGAATCATCTCCCGCCCTCCCTCCCCCACTGTGGATCTCATCCAGCCTGCCGAGTTAATGGAGAATGTCGCTCAGCCTCCCTGTTTGTTTGAGGGTGCCGCTCAGCGTCCTTCATCTATAGGCATTGCGCTACCTCCCGGTGTGGCCAAGAGCACCACTTTTCTTCCCTGCTTTGACTTGGACATCACAACGCTAGGTGCCGCTTTGGATACGCCATACTGCTTGTCTGAGGACATCGCTCTGCCTTCCTGCTTGGTTGAGGATGTTGCTCTGCCATCCTGCTCAGCTGAGGACATCGTTCTGCCATCCTGCTCAGCTGAGGACATCGCTCTGCCATCCTGCTCTGATGAGGATGTCACTTTGCCTCCATGCTTTACTGAAGACATCGCTCCGTTTCTTTGCTTTATGCTATATGCCGCTCGTCCTTCCTGCTCCATGGGGAACATCTCACCACCCTCATGCTTTATGGGGAGACTTGCTCCTCCCTTTGGCCTCACAGAGAACCCCCCGTATCTCACGGAGAACTTCGCTCCACCCTCAAACCTAGCCGAGGTGTTGCTCCCCCTTTTGCTTCATGGTGAGCATCGCTTCTCCTTCGGGCTCCACCTTGAGCTTCGTTACTCCTGCTGACTGCACAGTAGCCATTGCTCCATACTCATGCCAGGCCAGGGCTATCACGTCATCACTCGGTAATGTGGAAGAGATTGCCCACCCCTCAACCTCAGATAACACATCAAGCGTCCTCTGTTCATCACCATGAATGATGAGAGATGATGGAACTCTGAAGTGCTTCGGGACATCTGATCTGGAGGTCTGGGACCCCCTCACGAACAGATTACATGCTTAAGGGAAAGGGGGGGTCACATTTTTGTTTCACCTGATTCACGTTTGGCTCATTATCACTTGTGTGTATATATAGTCATGTTCTGCACTGCTTGGGTTGTCATGTGTTGTTTGGTATTTCCTTCAGTATCACGTTATTCTGGTCCTGGTTTCTTTTAAGTCTTGTTTTGAGTTTTTTTTGCACCTCATTAAAATGTTTCAACTTAGATTCTGCATTTGCATCCCTCTCAAACCCCATTACATGACAATATCTGGTAAAAGCATTGTCTGATTGGCTGGAGACCACTGGTGAACAACATTTTTCAAGACTTCCAATCTCCCAAAGATTCTCAGTCATATTAAAGTCTGTACTTTGATTCTGTCATTCTAACACATTTAGGTCCTTGAGTTTGAACCACTTAAGCAGAGCTTTGAATTATATTTAGGGTTTTTGTCCTGTTGAAAAGTGAGCCTCTGCCCTCGTCTCATCAGTGTTTTCTTCCAACTCTGTCTCCATCCATCTTGCGCTCAGCGCTGACCAGTTCCCCAGCCCCTGCTGATGACTAAAAGTTCAGTTCTGGCCTCAGAGTACCTTTCCCATTTTTATATTTTATGAGTCTCTTGTTTTATGGCTTTCTTCTCGCCATTGCTCCATAAAGCCCAGATTTGTGGAGATCAAATGATACTAAATCAAATTATACAAGTACTGTAATTGTACACAACTGGCACAAGCTTCAAAAAACAGCTAAAGACCCACCTCTTCCGTGAACACCTAATCAACTCCTAAGAAAACAAAACAAAACAAAACAAACCCACACACAACGCACTTACACCTCTACTCTGTGCACTTTGCTTTCTCTGGTATTCAATTAATGGATCTTGTATAGTAGCACTACTTGTATTGTTCCCTGCTTGATATATTGCTTTGCTTATTTGTAAGTCGCTTTGGATAAAAGCGTCTGCTAAGTGAATAAATGTCAATGTAAATGTAAGTAAACTAATTCAAATAAATTTGATGGTTAATTGCACAAGAACTAAATTAGCGGTGTATCTCCACACTAATATTTTGACCTTTATAATCCAAATTAAGCCCATTTCCAATCCAGGTTTTTAATACTACAAATTGTGGAAAAGTTCAGGGGGGTATACTTATGCAAGCCACTGTATCATAGTCATTTAGAACAATCTAATTTTTCTGTAATGTCATGAGAGTAGCCTTAAGTACCAAATCTACTTATCCTGTTGTGTGGGTACCCTATGAATTATAGTTATTTGAAGTCTGCCAGTACCATGCAATGAAAAACAGCCCCACACCATGATGACCACCCATGATGATCACCACCTAAAAACTTCACTGTTACTATAGTGTTTTAGGGTGATGTGCAGTGCTTTTTCTTCTCCAAACATGGTGTATAGTATGACAGCCAAAATGTTTGCTCTCCTCTGACCAGACTACACTCTCCCAGTATTTCATATGCATGTCCAAATGAGTTGTAGCAAACTTTAAGCAAGCTTAAACATGCATTTTCTTTAGTACTGGAGTCTTGTGGAGTGAGCGTGCATAGAGTCCATGGCGGTGTAGTGCATTGCCTATTGTTTTCTCTGTGATAATGGCACCTGCTGCCTCCAAGTGTTTCTGGAGCTCTTTCTGAGTGGTCCTTGGGTTGTGAAGGTTTTATGAGAGTTTCTTGCTTTTACCCATCATGAGATGTTTCTTGTGTGACACCTTGGTAACGAAAAGCCTTTTTATAGACCATCAATTTATTAACCCAGCTGATATTAATTTGCACAGATAGGACGTATAATTACTTTCTAACTACTTACAGATTTCAGCTGGTTCCTTGATTTACCTGGCCTAGGACTGCTTTTTCTTAGCGTGTTCAATACTTTTTTCCTGTGTCATTCCACTTTATTACACATAACTTTATGGACTTTAATTTTGTGAATTCTTTATATTTGCAGATTTCTTGAGTTAATGTTGATGCCTGATGAAAATTTCATGTAAATAACCTCATTGGAAATATATTTACTGAAAAAAATGTTGACGTGTTCAATACTTATTTCCCCTACTGTACCTACTGATGCAATTCCTTGGAAGTCTCTGGGAAACCAGGTCAGATTATTCAAACCTCCAGCAGATTTAACAAGCCATGCATGCCTTTCTCAGCCATGCTGTAGCTCAGTTAGTCACCTACATACCAAACTCCAACCCCCTGATTCACCTTTATCTCTATCTAGCCTCTGTATAACTGTTTGCAAGTATCCACTTAATGATCCATCTTGCACACCCCACACACTGGCTCTCCTTTTCCATCTCCATTGTACACTTATTTAAAGATACTTTAAATGCTTATTCACGAGGCATCACATTGGAAAGCACCAAAACAGTAAACCTGATGTGGTGTTCTGCTGTTGTAGTCCATCCACCATAAGGCTCAACATGTGGTGATTTTATGTGTTCCTTCTCACCATGTTTCTACAAAGTTGTTATTTGAGTTACCATAGACGTCCCATCAGCTCAAACCAGTCTAGTCATTCTTTTCAGGATGCTCTCATTAACAAGGTGCCCACAGAACTGCTACTCATTGGATTATTTTTATTTTTTTATTGGCACCATTCTGCGTAAACTCTTGAGGCTCCAGTGTATAAAAATCCCACTAGATCATTCATCAATAATTTTTTTATACCGCATATTCTACTGGGTGTCAGGGAACCTGGAGCTTATCCCAGGGAGCATCGGACACAAGGCAGGGTACACCCTGGTCAGGGTGTCAATCTAACACATGGCACAATTACGTACACATTCACACACCCATTCACATACTATGGACACAAACATACTTTGGACATGCCAATCAGCCTACCATGCATGTCTTTGAACTGGGGGACAACACAGGGAAAACATGCAAACGCCACACACAGAGGGCAGCAGAGGGAATCGAACCCCCAACCCTGAAGGTGTAAGGCAAACGTGCTATCCACTATCCTCCCTGCGCCCCCCACTGGATCAGCAGTTTTGAAATACTTAAACTAGCCCATCTGGCACCATCAACCATGCCATGGTTAAAGTCCCTGAGATCTCTGAGATTTTTTCCCATTATCATGCTTGATGCGAACATTAACTCAAGTTCTTGACCTTTATCTGCCTGATTTTATGCACTGTGCTGCTGCCACATGATTGGTTGATTTGATAGTCGCAGGAAAGTGTAGGTTTAGTGTGGTTGATTTTAAAGTGGCAGGTGAGTGTATAATTACAACAATTCTGTGCATTCTTTTGACAAAATCCAAAAGTCAGTGTCTGTCATGGTATGGGGTTGTGTCCATGCCCATGGCATGGGTAACTTGCACATCTGTGAGGACATCATTAATGCAGAAAGATATGTACACATTTTGGTGCAACATATGCTGCCAGAGCAGGACAACACAAAGCCACATTCTTCCCGGATTACAAGCACATGGTTGCGTAAGCAGAGAGTGTGGGTGCTAGCAAGGCCTGCCTACAGTCCTGACCTGTCTCCAATTGAGAATGTGTGAGATTATGATGCGCAAAATAACGCAATGAAGACCCCGTGCAGTTTCACAGTTGAAGAAATGCATAATGGATGAATGGGGGAAAATTGGAGTGTGTTGCAGTCATCAGATTTGAAATTATATATATATATATATATATATATATATATATATATATATATATATATATATATATATATATATATATATATATATATATATATATATATATATATATATATATATATATATATATCTTTTTTCTTTCTTTTTTTAATTCACAACGTAAAACATCAAATAATATGTTAATAATGTGTTTTCAATATAGTACAGGGTGAATTGAGTTTTCAAATGACTCTTCTTGATTGTTTTTTTTTTCCATACTGTCCCAGCTTTTTCAGAATTGGGGTTGTACAAGCTGGGACTGAGCTGAGTGGGTCTGAAAGAGCATGAGCCCTTTAGGTCAACGAGCTCCATTATTATAGAGTTTTGTACACAACGAGCTGCAGCCTACGCATACTGTTGTAGTTAGCTAGTCTAATTGTGAAGGATGACTAGTGGTACAGCCTGCTGTTGTTAGTATAGGGTGAATTGTCATGAACATCCCCTGCTCTTGGCATAGCTCACTCATATCCTGTTGCTCCAGCAACATCTGAATTTCTCTCCAAACACTCCTACACACTGTTCTTTAAGCACAAAAGGGTAACTTGTTTGGCATTAAATTTAACAAATTACACTAAACAAAATCCCCAGCATTAATTAAACACTTTGTTTATGACTTTAAAAAGATTTAAGGCACATAAATGGGCCATAGTTAGTTTTTAAAGTAAAGCTTTCAAGGTACACTACAAGAACCTTTCTAGGTAAAACATATATATTAAAGGTACAAAAAGTGTACGCTTGAGGGTACTACCCCAGTGACAAGGCAAGGTACAGTTCTGTATTCTTATTTCTCAGAGTATGCTCCTGTAGATTAGTCAGTTTAACAAATATATGCATATAAAATTCGCTAACTCAACACCAGGTATGCTGAGTCAGGATTCTGCACATTAATTAACCATAAAAGCCCTCCTAAGTTGACCCCTGAAAATGTGATCAATAATGGCTTACATCAAATGAAAATCACATAGCATTTTGTTTTAGCATGAGAAATCACGATGGCAACAAACTCCTAATAGTTAATGCTCCTGTTCCTGTTCTCTAGCCTATTTGCAATGCTTAGACTAAAGATATGTCATAACGTGTTTTTTAATTTATGTTTTTCATTTCCATAATCTTTGTTTATCTCTTGTTAATAAGGAAGTAACCATGGTGGTATGAAATATGGCAACTAAGTAAAAATAGAGTATTTAAAAAAATAATAATAATAATATATTTACACAGAAAGAAAGACGAGGCCTGGAAATCATGGTTGCGTTTCCCTACCACCTCCTTTTGCCCTAGAAGAGCAGAATAAACACGTTTATGGAAAGTTGTCTGGGGGGTGGGAGTTTGTTGGGTTTGCTCATCAATGCTGTCCTCCAGGGCACAGTTGCCTATATAAATGTCAAATGAATGCTAATTATGACTGAATAATAGCTGATTTATGTCCCAGAAAAACAATGAACATGTACAGAAATGCTTTTTATGGCCCAGACATATACTGTATGCTACATATCTTATATATGGTCTATGGGCCGTGGTTAGTGCTTAATTATGACAAAAGAATAGCTTATTATGCACATGAGCCTAAATAGTAATAAATACACTCACTGGTTACATTATTAGGAACACCAGGTCATTTTTGTAATTATCCAAATAGCCAATCTTGTAGCAGCAACACAGTGTATAAAATGCTGAAGACACAGGTCAAGTTATGGTTCAAACACGGGAATGCAAGAAAATGTGATTTCAATGAATTTGACCATGGCATGTTTGTTGGTGTCAGACAAGCTGGTTTGAGTATTCTGATCTCGGCACAAGAGATTCTAGAGGTTACACAGAATGGCACGAAAAACAAAAAACATCCAGTGAGCTGCAGTTCTGCAAGCAGAAACACGCTGTTGATGAGAGAGGTCAGAGGAGAACAGGAAAACTGATTCAAGCTGACAGGAAAGCTATGGTGACTCAAACTCAAATCTTATTACGGCCATGGTGAGCAGTTCATATAAAGCTTTGAGCAGTGAGAGATTGTTATGATGATGATTTGCTCATTGAATAATTGGAAGAAAGAGCTGGTGTACTGGTGTTCCTAATAAAGTTATCAGTGAGTGTATTTTGATATAATTCCACTTACAATTATCTATAAGGCGAAGGAAAAAGAAAAACATTTTTTGACATTTTTGCAAAAATGATCTCTTAACTTTTCTAATGCTGCTATTTTGCTGGTCAGTTTAAGAACATAAAAGGTAAAGCTAACCCAATCCTAATTTAGTCTAATACCTGTATTTGGAATCAAATGCTTTAAATTTTGGTGAATTTGAATTTATGTTATACGATTAATTCACGGCTGCTTTCTGTGCTCAGTTTTGCACAGCTCTACATAAGTAAAATTGGAGAAAAAAAGATTTTAAAGTGGTTTAATCAGTGTATGTTTAATGCTAAAAATTGTTCTGCTTCATCTCAGTACCTTACACAATGCTGCCCTCAACTGGTGCAGCTAAAGCACTCATTCAATATCTTTGGAGTGGGCAAATGCAGTCGTTAATTCTCTTCCAACAGTCTTGTCTGTAATTTTTGCCAACATTACTTGACTATAGTATTCATAGGAGTACATGCCACCTACATGAGCCCTTCATGTTTCCTATAGGGGTGAGCTCCCATAAATACTGCTTTTTTCAATATTCATTGTTAAATAAGTAAATATTTGTTGACATAATGCTGTTATATGCTATGGCTTTTTCTGCGCTGACCTACATTAGAATATTTTGACAATTGACTCTTCTATGTCTGACTTATGTCAGCGATACAGCTAGTATTCAGTCTGCTAAGGAAGGATAAAAAGTGTGCTTGTTATAACACAAGTATACTCCCACTCAGCAGAACATCCTTGTCCTCTCCACTTCTTATTCTCTGTGGAAACGTCAGTGTTTGCTACTTCACACTGTTTGTTTCTATACAACTGGTGTAGTGCAGAGTTGTGCATTGTCTCTTTGAAACAGCATGGCGTTCCACTGAGTATTACACTGATTTTCACCCACCTCCCCAAAACATACACAAACCAGGATTAAAGAGATTACTAAAAATTAAATTATATTCAATGTTATTCATTATAAGTGTATATACAGTGTAACCAAATGTGGTATATCTAGCATCAGGTGGTAACATTTTAAGATTAAATAGTGAAATAAGCTAAAATAAAATAATATTACAAAAAGATACCATTTGGTGAGAGCTAGCTGAGTAGCTTCTGCCATCGTGGAAGTACCACCCAAGATAGGAGTAGCAGCTGTATTATACTACTAGCAGCAGCATTTATTTATCACGTACAGTGCCTTGCGAAAGTATTCGGCCCCCTTGAACTTTTCAACCTTTTGCCACATTTCAGGTTCAAACATAAAGATATAAAATTTAAATTTTTTGTGAAGAATCACCAACAAGTGGGACACAATTGTGAAGTGGAACGAAATCTATTGGATATTTTAAACTTTTTTAGCAAATAAAAAACTGAAAAGTGGTGCGTGCAAAATTATTCGGCTCCTTTACTTTCAGTGCAGCAAACTCACTCCAGAAGTTCAGCGAGGATCTCTGAATGATCCAATGTTGTCCTAAATGACTGATGGTGATAAATAGAATCCACCTGTGTGTAATCAAGTCTCTGTATAAATGCACCTGCTCTGTGATAGTCTCAGGGTTCTGTTGAAAGCGCAGAGAGCATCATGAAGAGCAAGGAACACACCAGGCAGGTCCGTAATACTGTTGTGGAGAAGTTTAAAGTCGGATTTGGATACAAAAAGATTTCCCAAGCTTTAAACATCCCAAGGAGCACTGTGCAAGCGATCATTTTGAAATGGAAGGAGTATCAGACCACTGCAAATCTACCAAGACCTGGCCGTCCCTCTAAACTTTCAGCTCAGACAAGGAGAAGACTGATCAGAGATGCAGCCAAGAGGCCCACAATCACTCTGGATGAACTGCAGAGAACTACAGCTGAGGAGGGAGAGTCCGGTCGAGGACAACAATCAGTCGTACACTGCACAAATCTGGCCTTTATGGAAGCGTGGCAAGAAGAAAGCCATTTCTCAAAGATATCCATAAAAAGTCTCGTCTAAAGTTTGCCACAAGCCACCTGGAAGACACACCAAACATGTGGAAGAAGGTGCTCTGGTCAGATGAAACCAAAATCGAACTTTTTGCCCACAATGCAAAACGATATGTTTGGCGTAAAAGCAACACATCTCATCACCCTCAACACACCATCCCCACTGTCAAACATGGTGGTGGCAGCATCATGGTTTGGGCCTGCTTTTCTTCAGCAGGGACAGGGAAGATGGTTAAAAATGAGG